AGCGGCGGCATCCCCAGTAGCGGGGGCGGAACGTGGGTCAGAGTCGATCGGGGGAAGGAGCTGGGGCCACGTCCGCGGAGCGGATCGGCCGATCGCGGGGATCGGCCGAGCGCCGGGAAGCGGCCGCGCGGGGCCGCCCTTCCCCTCCGGCCGAGGCCCTCCCAGCACTCGGCCTCAGGGGTTGTGAACCTCCTGCCCGTCCCCCGGCCGAGGAACGTCACTAGTCACGTCAGAAAAAAACAACGCTTCCAGGACGAAATACAAGAAGCGATCAGTAACTCTTTTCGCTTTTGCTGTCAAACCATTTTAAAGCAGGCTACATCGCAAAAAAGCCCCAAACATTTTTGGCAGATTCTTTTCCACCGACAAGAAGCTTCTTGAGAGCAGTGCTTGTGGGAGAGGGCTTCTATGCCGTTTCTAGGCGGGTCTGTCCCCTCCACACCCCTGCTACAGTAAGGGGAGGAGGAGGAAAGCGAGCAAGCCCTGCCCAGTGCAGGCTCCTCGGGGCTTTCAGAATCTCCGGTAGCACTGCTATCCCCCCCACCGTCGGGTCAATGGAGCCAGAATGCGAACAGTCTCCTTGCTCATGCCAAAGAGCTGCTATCCAACACAAACAATGGCCGAATTATCTGTTGAAACTAAAAGGCTCGCTGTCCTTTATTCAGTCAGCTCATTTTTTATAGAGCTGTAGAACTTCACAGCCAAATTTAACAAGACGTAGAGGTCTACAAGATGAGTCAACTAAGAATTTCAAGAGTTATTCTGTGGTCTAGAGGGAGACAGGGACAATCAGTCTGACTGCATGCAGAAATTTTCTTCAGAAAATCAGCTTGAAATCCAGCATTTATAATTTAGTAGTAATAGTAATTTAATAGTAGTAGTAACAGCACCAATTTTGCTAAATCATGATGCTATTTTAGTAATGGCACCGATTCAAATCACATTTCTTATGTTTCTACAAAACACTGAAAATACACTCTCAGAGCACCACAAATCTGAAAATGTGGCACGTACAAAAAGGCACAATCCACAAAAACAGAATTCCTAGGAGACTTGCAATGTCTTACTGATTCTAATACAGAAACGGGAAAAAAGACATTCTCCAGAACAGCCACAGAAAAGCTGTCAAATTTCAGTACAGGAGATATAGTTTAAATGGAACATAGATAACACAGCAGATCATCCACACAGATGGCAGCTTCTTCTCAGCAACATCATTCTGCATGTCAGAAATGTGAAACTCTAGATATCAGAAAAGTTCTCAGAAACGGTCATAAAAAGCTTCTCTGGCTCAGGTATCTGTAACAGGAGTCACTGTTACTTCTTATGCAGAGTTGAAAGGGGAGATCAGACATACAGCATGCTCCATCTGCAACTGTTAGCGGCATAACTTCCTCTTGAATGTGACTTCTTTCCTGGATAATGAGTTGGCAACCATTGTAAGACACAAATATGTAACAGTACAAAGTAAACTGAATTTATGGCTCAGTCATGTCAATGTAGGTGGCTGAGAAAAAATCATGCAACTTAAGTCTGGTGCAAAACACCACAGAATCTCCTGCCTCACGGGTACGCCTTCTGGGCGGCTGAAAGGCATCATCTGTATTCTGCCAATTCTCTTTTCCCTCTTCCATATATACAGCACATACAGAAGTACAACAAATGTCTGTTTCAGTTATCCAAAAGCAAAACTGAAATTCAGTGCCATGGAGCAGTGAGTCTGACAGCCTTGTTCCAAGCACTGACAATGCAGGAGCAGAGGAGGAGTGGCTTGTTTTATCTTGTTCAACAGCTGGTTCTAAAAAGTAGATATTTTGGCAGCCCATGACCATGAAATTTCACCAGCATGTCATTTTTTATGTTCCTGTGCTACCCTAAACTCATGATGGATCCAGAATTAATTCTTTTCCCCCTTTTCTTTTGGCTACTGAATGGAGGTTTGATATCATTCAACCACTCTATCTGCAATACATGTACAACTTGATGCAACCCAGGTCCTGCATCCAGTCACCTTCCAGACTCAAATTTTAGGTGCACAGTACAGCAAGAACAGACAGTCCCTAACGTGTATGGAGGGACACAAAAAGCTATGGGAGAAGTGACAGACAACTTCTGGCATCACAAAATTCCTGTGTGTTAATAAATACTGACTTCATCGCTACTTTTCACCATGCAGCGAGTACAGGGAATCAATCTACCCACACGCCACTCTTGAAAGAGGTGTCAAGGCAATAAATACTGCTTAGATGAATGATTACATAATGAGTACTGCTATGGTTTAGGAATCTACTGAAGGTGAAGACATCAGTGTAGAAAATCTGTATCTGACATCCATGAATGTTGCACATGACATCCCCACAACTCGCTGGTCATTAGAGGGCTGCGACCACTTCCGACCCAAGCAGCCAGACACAAGGAGACTCCTTTTTCACTGCAAGGGTTATTTACAGGAGCCTCTACAGTTTTCAAAACAGCATTTCTTTGTAATTTTTTAAGGAAGAGGACAGGGACTTTACTTACTGTGTCATGCACTAAGGTGAAGAACATGTATACTTCATAACCCCCAAACCAAACCTACGTTGTCACAAAACTATCAGAAACAAAATATATCCTATCGCTAATATTTTAAGTAAATAGTTGTATTTGGCATCACTCAAAAAAACCCAAAACAACCAACCCACAAAACCCCACCACATTGTTAGATCCTGTAAGGATAGCCACTATTATTCTTACTTCCTTTCTCCCTTTTCTCCCGTTTTCTTCTTTCTCCTTCCAATATTGATGCTGTATTTCTCCTCCAAATCTTCTTTTCCCTACTCGTTCTTCTCTTGGTTCTCCCTACCATTCCCCTTCTTGTTCCTGCTTGAAATTTCCGTTATTTCTTTCCCTCATCTCTCTGCCTCCTCTTGGTTCCATTCTCCCTGCTTTTGGTTGTCTACAAAGCAGCAGAAGTGCTCATCGCATGCAAAAGCTAGTAAGGGAAATGGGAAAAAGTGAAGTTAATTTGCGAAAGAAATCACATTTATTAACATCACATACATATATAGGGTAACTAGGAATCATCTTATTTCTACAACCACAGAAAACATACTTGTTTCACACCAGTTGCTTCATTTACCAGCTGCTACAGAAAGAAACTTCTAAGATTCCTCATCTGTCATTTTATAATCCTTGCTCTTACCCCATGAAACATGAGCATGGTAGAGTTTCAAAATGACCCTTGTGCTTTATTTTATTGTAAGATAGTCAGTTATTAAATATTCAGGGTTAGAAATGAATGCTATTTTCATTACCTATCACATATAACACAGACCCTTCTGTTGATGCAATTCAGTAAGTTCTCTACTTGAGTGTGTGGAATACATATGAAAGTAATTTTAAGACACGAAGTATTTTCAAAGCCAGAAGCAATATGGCACTAGTTTAAGAAAAGGACCGTTTCAATTGGCCCTTTCTTAGAAAACAGTAAACTGAAAGGAAGACCTGCCCCCTCTCCCTGCCCCGCTATGATGCATTTATTTCCACACTTCATGAAATTGGATTTAGTATTTTTACTTTAACACTCATAGAGAACAAGCTTTGTTCTCTGGAGCGTGTCCAGAGAAGGGCAATGAGGCTGGTGAGGGGTCTGGAGAACAAGTCTTATGAGGAGCGGCTGAGGGAGCTGGGGTTGTTTAGCCTGGAGAAAAGGAGGCTCAGGGGAGACCTTATCATGCTCTACAACTACCTGAAAGGAGGTTGTAGCGAGGTGGGTGTCGGTCTCTTCTCCCAAGTAACTGGCGAAAGGACGAGAGGAAATGGCCTCAAGTTGCGCCAGGGGAGGTTTAGATTGGATGTGAGGAAAAATGTCTTTACTGAAAGAGTGGTTAAACATTGGAACAGGCTGCCCAGGGAAGTGGTTGAGTCACCATCCCTGGAGGTATTTAAAAGACGGGTAGATGAGGCGCTTAGGGACATGGTTTAGTGGGCACGGTGGTGTTGGGTCGACGGTTGGACTCGATGATCTTAGAGGTCTCTTCCAACCTTAATGACTCTGTGATTTAGAGAATGTCTGAATTTTGCAAAATGTTATTTTACCCATAGTTTTAACATAAAATTTTGGGTTGCATTTCCCAATTCAAAGCTATTAAGAAGTTTCCATAAACTTTTTAAAGAGGACACTATAGCTTATGAAGTGAAAAGTACAGAATGCATAGGCTTGCAGTACAGGTGAATTATTTTTCTAAATTGTGCAAAACTTTCTTCCCATCACAACCGTGTATGTAACTTTCTAGAGTTAACATGCAAATAAAACTGAATACAAAATTAAAAAAAGGTAACAAGTCATTAATCACAATGATATAAAATCTACTTTATATATTATACAAAATGGTACATTAATATAAATAAATATATATTTTAATCTTAACATTTTGTATGGATAAAGACTATAAGGTAAAACTTGTTCAGTGGGTTTCTCCTCTTGGTATACTCTCAACAATACTCATCAATCAGCAGTTTAGGAACCTCTTAAGCCAGGAAGAGACCAGGTCTACATCCCATAACAAGGAAGCACTCCTGAGCACTTTTTAGACCTCGGTATCTACTCTTCGCCAAATAAAAATGATTTTTACTTCCAATTATAGAAGCTACTCGAAAACTCATTTGTTGTTTTCTGAATGAAACTTAAGAAGCCTGGTTTCAAAAAAAAAAAAAGTTAATAAAAATGATGTCAAGCCAACACCTAAGAAGTGCAACATAATATTGACAAATAAAAGTCACTGCTATCAGAGTAAGTTTACTGGCCAAGCCCTCCTAATTATTATCCATATACTAATGTATACTGATAGTATACAATGTGTAGTATCAATAGGCTAGCTGCCTCTTAGGCTTGGTCTACAATGAAAAGCATTGTTGGTGTAGTTACATATGTAAGCACACCTGCTTTTTGCTCAAATCAAATGCAGCTACCCTAGCAAAAAATCTTTTTGCAGTTTATTTGCTCAATGAACTAGCATACCCTGTATTAGCAAAAACCCCTTTCCTTTCTGCTAGCATGGAACACATGCCAGAAGGATGTATGGTGTAACTACACCAGAAACCAAGCAAGGCATGCCAAGGCCTTGCATTTTTTTTCCTGGACAGGAGACTGTATTAGCAGTATTAAAAGTTTGCAAGTGGCCTACTTGAGGAGGGTAGAGAATGCCATAAATTCAGTGACAATAAATTTTGATACAACTCATCCAGGTTATACTGTTACACAACAAGCAGATTAACTGAACTCTTCATGTTAGGCATCTGCTCCACTGGAGAAAAATTTCTGTATTTAGGACAATTTTCACTCATGTTGTTTTCAGAAGAACAAGTGCCACTTGAAAAAAAAATCAATTAATAAAGACATATCATTTTTCATAAGCAAAAGCAGTGAGGGTGGGGTGTTTAATTTAATCTAGTCTTAAGAGCCAGTGGCTGCTACACAACATTTAGGTTCAAATACGATAAAGTGTACTTCTACAACTATGCCTGGTGCAACGAGTGTGAATCATGTTTCCGCTTCCACAGAACATCTGCCAAAATCCCACATTTTAACTGTGTGGTAGATTATTGTAAAGCCCTTCCACATGTAGACTCATTTTTGCATCAGCGGAAAACATAGCCCAAAACATGGCAGACTGTCTCATTTATTAACATATAACCCTTGTGTGCTGTGGACAGTACTGACGACACAGGGTTCTGGGTGAATCACAACCTCTAATGCAGCAGGCAGATGGAATCCAAATTATTTAAAAAGACCATCTCTTTCCTCCTCCTGTTTTGCTAGTTTGTGGAGGCACACGAGCCAGAACTTGTTAATGAAGAACTGGCATTGCTGGGTAGGCATTCTTTCCCGACGCATTTTCCATTATTAGGTGCTAGGGAAAGTACCCAGTGAATTTCAGCGGTTTGCACTGGCTTATGTTTGTTTTAAGCATCAACAGAAGAACCTAGATCAGTGCACTGCTAATAGGTATGCTAAAAAACAACCGATGAAACAATAAAAACACAAAACCCTGGAAAACCCAACAGCTATACAGTTTAGAGCTCTTTCCACCCTGTTTACCTGTTGTACTTGGTTGTAAGATCTGTTGCAGTGCTATACGATAGCTGCCATTCTCATCCAAGCTTTCAGAGCCTTCTGCATTAAAATATAAAATCTAGTGCCTTAACACACCAAAATGCTTTTAAATCCCTGGGTTTGGAAGCAATAGGCACTTTAGATACACACGCAATAACAATGCATAAAGTAAAAGTGTGTGTGTGAAACTGCCTGGATCATAGTGTTTCTCGTTAGCCACTTCAGACATGTCCTTTCCAACAGCAGTTAAGTGGGAGAAAGAAAAAGTTTCTTCCTCAGTGTGTGCTGGAGCAGAAGTGAGTATTGCTGGCTTGGGTCAGCGGTCTTATTCCATTCATAAACTTTTCTGTTCAGTTCCGTATGGATATCTAAGATAGAGAGTTTCCTGCAGCAACAAAAGTAAAAGCTTTCTATTAGAGAATGAAACAAGAGAGAAGACAACTTTAGACTCAGCAAGGAGAAAGTTTCAAATTTCAGTCTGTATTGCAGAGGTTACACCTCTAAAACCCAAGGCTGAACATGCATTTTGGAGACATATCACTGTTGTGATATTGGTTATGCTGACACGATGATCTGTGATTTCATTACAAGGTTTTAGGGTTTGTAAAAAAGTACTAAATGTTAACCCTGCAACTACCTTGAAAAACAGTTGCTAGCTCCTTGGTAGATCAACTGTACAAAGAAAACCTTTGTTGGTAAGTTGTACGTCCAAACATATCTGATTTCTGCTCAGATTCATTTTGATAATCTCTTTAGATAGACTAAAGTTTTCTGATAGTTTAAATTCAAGATTACAAATTGGCAATCTAATGGCTCCCTGAGCAGAGCATTAATTAGATCTAAAGAAAGGACAAAATCCTTCCCTCTCAACTGCCTTTTCCCCAAAGTTAGGCACTGACTTTTTATATTTGCAAGCAGAGCTCTTCTTAATGATAAAAGGCAATCCTCAATTTGACAGAAGCCTGGTGTGTGCCTCGTTATCTTGGAGAAGGAAGACTTCCAATCCTGTCTAAAGCACTGACATCCATTACCCAGGACAGGTTCTTCCCTTCTCACTCTGCAAGCCCCAGTGCCATAACACACTTTAATTTTACTCTCCAGAATCAGAAACTCCAGTCCTACTTTAGACTACCTTCCTGTGCCATCATTCCAGGATCAGGTATACTTGTCTCTTAACCTATGACACAGCATGAAGACACTTTTCAGGACCAGATGGGATGAAACTTAAGGTTTCTCTTTCTTTAGGACAGCAGGCTGTCATAGGAAAAGGGTTATTTTTTTCCTCTTATTTACCTTTTATGAGGATTGCGGAGTAGCTCAGCCAGACAACGCAGATAATATGAGGATGAACTGGGAGATTTTTCTAGTGTAGACACATCCAC